ATATGCATAACTAATGTTAATATATAACATAAAACATTATTTTGCAAGTAAACAACAACGTTTGGACAGTGTTTCACAGTTGTACAGTCTCTCATACAGTTGTGTTCAACTTCCCATCCTAAATTCCGATGACCTTGGCTGCAAATAAAAATTTATAGCAACACCTACATGACTTTCAAATGAGTCGGAAACGCCAAACGCAGACGCGCAGTGTCAGTTTAAATGGACTTCGGCTGCGCTGCCAGGAGCTTGGAGCCTTCGGCCGTATCATCGGCGGCCGAATGTGAGCGACCAAAATTTACTTATGAAACGGTAAAGATTTTTAAGATTGCGGTAGAAACATTTATTTACGGGCAATGAAATGAAGCGAAAATGTTATCGGATGTCAAACTTGAGAGAATATGTGCAGAAGATATCTTAGTGATAACAACCACTTCGTTAAATTGGGAGCCCCAAGTAAAATTTTTCCGAAAGTTAGGCCTCAAAATTGGCGGTTGTTTATTATATTTCATGAGACGGATTTTTTCCCTGCCAGAGACTGTAACATGAATAGATGCATCGTTGAAAAAAAAGATACTGAATATTCGTCAGCTCTTCGCTGACGAATATTCTTTATCGTAGAAGTTACGATCATCGTAGAAGTTACGATCGTCGTAGAAGTTACGATCATCGTAGAAGTTACGATCATCGTAGAAGTTACGATAATTAGAAGTTAAGATAATCGTAAAAGTTACGACCACCACAACGCAGATGTTAATAAATATAGCAGCGCGACTCTGGCTTTACCCCTACAACGCTACACTCAAATTATCCCACGGGTAAATACAATTTCTAGAAATCAGTACTCGACCAGCTCTGTCAAGTCATACAATCAAAGTTTTTAAGCTAGTTAATGTTCGTAGTTTAAGAGAGTACGGAAATAATTTTAAGAATGATATAACTTAATAGAATAATATATACACAATTCGTCTTAGATAATTCAATACCAGCAGGAGTTTACATCAACATTGATTGACATTTAACATTTTTAGCCTCGCTATTCCCATGACTTAACGTAAGTTACTCGTGTCAGAGTTCGTGTTGAATATACACTTGCGATTCCCAGAAACATTTCCCATCTTACTAATGTAGCCATATTAATCCATGGATTTAATGTGACAAATAGTGCATGCTAAAGGATGGTCCATAACTCTCGTTAGTAATTCAGGGTCTCTTGGTGTCGTCAAAGAGTTGCCTAATTTTCCTATTGGAAATCTTAGCAGGCATATCGGTGGCCAATGAATGTCTGACTGTCCTAGGTTGAAATTCGTTCCTAATTTTTCAAGTAGGCTTAGCACACTCATGTATAGTGCACACCTCAAGAAGCTGTAAGGAAGCTCACAGTTGTGTATTTGGATTTCGTTTTAAAAATCGTGGCCGACAACGCTGTATTCTTCTATTGTACGCAGGATATTGCGAATTTTGTAGTCATGAGGGCACTAGTTTAGCTCAAAGGCATTCTTCATCTTCAGTACACCAACAGTATTCAACTCCATCACAACATTTGTATTCTAACTCAACAAATGCCTGTAATCTCAAATTCTGTCCACAATCCCCTACCATTACAACTTTTCGCTACCACTTCTTCAATACCACCACTAATTCGTCACCAACAGAAACAGTTGAAGAACTTCCAAACCAACAGAACTGTGTTGAAGTGGTGACTAAACACCAACCATGCCTGCATGAAACAGTCATCACTCCTACACACAGTAACCAACCCTTCACATAGTCAACATAGTCGCCACTTCAACACAGTCACCACTCCTACACATGGTCACCACTCCTACGCATGGTCACCACTCCTACGCAACACTCCACCACTCCTACGCAACACTCCACCACTCCTACGCAACACTCCACCACTCCTACGCAACACTCCACCATTCCTACGCAACACTCCACCACTCCAACACACAGTCACCACTCCTACACTCTACTCCAACACACCACTCCATTGATCTGCCACTCCAAGCGTCACTCGCGTAATCAGTGTCCGTTTGCCTCGTCATCGCCCGCAGCCCCTCTAGCACATCATGGAGGCTCTCACACTAGGCATCTGATGTTGAAATAACGTTGATTATACGTTGATATAACGATCTTAACGCGTAATTAACGTGGTTTCACCGTAATTTGCCAGGAGGGCTCGTCCTGAACTTCCACCAAGAATTACATTTCTATTCCTTCAGGGTCTGATAAGATATGCTTCTCTTATGTTATCAAACGTGATTAAAAATAAAACTAACTGATGTTTTAAAACGTTGAATGCAACATTGCTTGTTAACTCCTTTGTTGTACGATATGACCTGGTTCTCTTGTATTATTACCCAAGATTAAAAATCAAATTTACAGCTATTTTAAAACTTAAATAAATAAAACTTATATAATTATATAAGGCAAAATTGCTGCATAAGACTGCCTTTGTTTAGTGGTAGAGGTAACATTCATTTTTAACAAGACGTGGCGTCATTTCCAAACGACAAATTCGTAGTTCTGTTTTAGTACAAAATTCTACAGTCATTTGTGTACGTTAATGTAATCCAATCGAGCAGAGTCACCAAATAAACTAAGTAGTTATCTGACGAAAAATTATTCAATGATATAAAAGTTGGTAGTGAGTTTAATAAATTAATCTTTCATCAAATGATACGCGGTCGGACATCTACATTTCTGTCTCGACGACGCAATGGATGATGCATGCGGGCGTGTATGAGGTATTTTGTCGACAGCGCGATGGGGCCATGTATGGGATTATTTGTGTACGTTGTATTGCATGAGGCCGTGTATGGGGCCATATACCCTATGTACAATACGGTGTCGTGTACGGTGTCGTGTACGGTGTCGTGTACGGTGTCGTGTACGGTGTCGTGTATGGTGTCGTATATGGAGTCGTATATAAGGCTGTCTGCTGTGTCGTTATGGGGTCTTATATGGTGTCGTGTACGGGATCGTGTTTGGGGTTTTGTTTCAATATATCATTATATATGGTATCGTGTACGGTGTCGTGTATAGTGTCATATATGGAGTCGCATATGAGGCTGTCTGCGATGTCGTTATGGGGTCTTATATGGTGTCGTGTACGGGATCGTGTTTCAGGTTGTGTATCGACGACTCAAAAATTGCCATCAGTGATAACCTAGAGCAACATTAATGATATTCGTTGATATGATATATAACTCAAATTTCTTATAATAATTTTAGTGATTACAACTTTCAATGAGTGTCAACCATCGTCAACATTGCACTGATAAAAAAAAACACAGTTCTTGTTTTTTTTTATTTAATTCTAGAAGATAATTAACGACTGAGGCCTGTGCAACACGCCACTGTAATGCAGAAATTTTTTCAATGGAGCCACTTGATTTAAAATTTGTATATTGAAGAATCTGCAAGCATTATAAATTTAATCTCCTGCACTTGCGCATAAAAACGCTCAAATATGACCTTAGTAGTATTTTATTCTAGTCGGTTGATTATGCCACGTCTGACCGAGCGAAGAAATCGTCGAAAAAAACAAATGAAAGTTATGACAGACTTGACACAAATCCTGCTATAAATTACGGATTTGCGCACTGGGAAGAATAAGTGGGCTATTTGTGGCAGGAACATTCAGCTCTGTGAGTAAGATCAATACACGTAGTTTGCGTTGTTTACCCTCGCATTCGTAGACTAATGACGAACTTAGAGCCGGGGGCGTTGAAGAACATATATCAAGATCTTCTTGGTTAAAACGTTATATCTTCTTGGTTAAAACGTTTTTAACGTTCAGATGACGACATTTTATGCATTTTTTATTTCAATTCTTATGTCATCATAATTCTGTGTCTAAAACATATGATTGTAAAATAATTGATGTCTAAATTCTTTTCTATTCGACCGCTCAGATGGAAAAGCGAATTTCATTAGCAGCGAAATCATTTTTTACAACCTGAGTGAAAATTTCTGAGAAGTTAATGTTGTAACTGTACGGAGTTTTGCACGGCACTGTGAAGAATAAGTCAACACTGAAATATTTCTCTCAAAACACTCCACTAAAATAGTATAATTTTTATTGAGAATCAAAACACCAGTGAGGAACACATAAGAAATGAACACGTTCAAGAAAATGCGGAATAATATACAGAACTGAGCGTGCGTGCAGAGCTTGGGCGTGCACTGCAGTCACGTACAAACAAACAACTTGGTCGCTCAATGGAGCAGCGTAGCGACACAACCTCACACCACCACGCCCCGAGGCCTACTGAGTTCTCTCTTGCTGGCATAGGCTCGACTTACGCGGAGAAGGATTTACCCGACGCCAAATCCTGGGCCTATACTTTCAAAATTCGCTAAGTGAACGTAAGTATTTACGCTCTATTTTCTTGTCTACGATTGGTGGGTCTTGCTGCAAAGGCCGTCAATGATTGGCAGATGAACTTACGATCTCTTAACTTTTTTGAAAGTATAGGCCCTGCTCTAGTAGGATGCGTTATGTTATAAAACATCAATTAAAAAGTTATTGTCGCGTAATGTGGATCATTAGACGGATTTAGCATCAGTAATGAAGGAGCAAATGACAGATGTAAAGTTCGAAATGATAACTTTAAGAGTTTTTAGTGAAGCTAAATTTTGCTTTAGGGTCAAAAGGTCATTCTATTCCATCTTCAAATCTTTTTTTTTAATTTTATCCCATTTCCTTCGGCAACGTGTTAGAATCAGTGTTAAAAATTGACATATATCATGTATGATAATCCGACAAATATTTGATAAGCGCGAATGTAAATACGAAAGTTGATTCGTATATATTCGTATTGCAACATTTGATTGCATTTTAATGAGACTGCTAATTCGAAATAATTCAGGAAATATTGGAATTAAATTCACCGTTCGTTCAAAGACCTGAATAATTAGTAGCATAACGTATGGATAACTGATAACAGTGCGATACAGTTTATTAATATACAATGGAGTATAACAACAAATGAGCATCAAACAGCTTTATTTATGCATATATTTATCACATGGCATACCATAACAGTGGTAAATTGTCGCTCTTAACATGAGTAATTATTTCGATCTCAAGAAGCTCGAAATTAGTTTTTTCAGCATTTTATACAAATTCTGAATTTCCAATAAATAACGTCAATAGGTTTGAAATGGATCTTTTATCAGCGGTCTATTTAAAACCACATCGATGTGAACTTAAACAAAAAATTTAATTGTTAATTTAGCTCGAAATGTATTATGATTAGAATTTATCAGTTATCGAAATAATGAGGAAATTCTTTAGCGGTTCATATGTGAAACTTGTTCAAAATACAAAGAAAATATTTGAATTCCTACGCAGACTTCAGTGAAGAGTTGAATTCGTAGAAAATGGTTGTTTTAATTCAATTTAATCCACGCGAGGTTATACATTATACAACACTGAACAATACATTTAACACACTACCCAGTGAATTGATTTTCTAGATAAATAGCTTTCTTTGTACAACGGACGTCGATGTCTGTATAAAGAGCATGTACATAACGTTACTAGTTAATATCACACTAGTTCTTAAAGATAAGAACCATACATAGATATAGATAAATACAATGCACTAACACCACGTTTGGTCCCAGTAACTCAAACACTAGTGATGAAATATCTATGATATTTTGCAAATGGTGTAAATTTTAGATGAGATACCGACCGATGAAAATAATTTCACAAGTCTTTTTTAAAACCTTGTAACAACCTAAACTGCAGGTTATTGTCTTGCTTGGCTGTGTTAATAAGTTTCACGTTAAAACTTATATCTAATAAAAGTAATTGAACCATTAGGCCTTAAATGAACAACGGAAAATCATTTATTACTGATTTAACCAAGTATTCGTGATGAAAAACTTTGCATTTAATTAAAGGGAATTACTTAAATGTGATGAATTTGAGCATTATTTTTGGAACCCTTAAGAAAAGAACAGAGGGCTTTTATTTTTTATCTATTTATTATCTATCTATTTTTTAAAAAAACAAAGGGCTTTAGGAAAAAACAAAGGGCTTCTATTTTCGTTACATCTTTCTGGTCCTTCTGGCGATTAACTCTGCTTGAACGACAAACATTTCGAGTACAGACGTTCCATTTCCTAATTTTGTTCTTTGGAGATTTAGGATCTTTTGTAATTTATAATAAAATAATATTAGAAATAAGAATTCTAATTATTAATTAAATCAATTCTTTTTCTAAAAAAATTAATGCCACTATTCCCCTAAAGCCTGTATTGTCAACAAAATTATGCTACGTCATCATTCCATTGTTCACTACATCTCAGTTGTGCTACATCATCATGTATTTCTTTTGTTTTAGATTTTATGTTAGTATATATCGCTTCTTCCTTGCTGTATATCAGACAAATGTTTAAATTAAATGAATATATTTGTAAATTTTCAAGGATTACTTTTTGTGGTACCATAATTTAATCTATTGGAGCATGCATTGTTTATGTAAATCATAAAAGGTAACAAAGTTTCTTCTGCCTTTAATTGTGTTATTAAAACTAATCAGGAAAGTGGTTTTAAACTTGTTGAAGTATTAAACATTCAAAAATATTTTCAAAAACTCCATATTTATTTTTCACGTCAATGCAGGCATCAGCCAAAAATCTTATAATGAATAACCGTTACTCTGACCGACTAATTTATCTAATGACTAATTTAGCGCATAATCCCATTACACAAGATCACTTGAGTTGTTAGTAATAACTGTATATTACTCCACAATCACCTATATTCATATTAAATTGAATTTTTCGAGCACAGCAATTGTTACACACATTTTTCGAGCACAGCAATAATGTAACAATTTATGATGTATTTTGTAACGCACAGTTAAATCGCATTCAAAAAATTAGATGCCACGAGGTTTACATTCATGAAAAACATGCTCCTTCAAAAACACCGGCAAATGTGCACTGAGAGAAATTATTGGAAAAGTTAGTCACGATTTGGATACAGTGACAAATTCGTTTTTCTGAACATCAACGTTAGTTTCGATGATGCTTTGATACGAAGTAGAGGGTCTCAGTGAATAGTCTGAAGTAATAAATACGTGCAGTGTTTGAACTAATAAATAGGGTCAATAGTCTGAAGTAATAAATACGTACAGTGTCTGAACTAATAAGTAAGGTCAATAGTCTGAAGTAATAAATACGTACAGTGTCTGAACTAATAAATAGAGTCAATAGTCTGAAGTAATAAATACGCACAGTGTCTGAACTAATAAGTAAGGTCAATTGTCTGAACTAATAAATAGGGTCAATAGTCAGAACTAATAAATACGTGCAGTGTCTGAACTAATAAATAGGGTCAATAGTCAGAACTAATAAATACGTACAGTGTCTGAACTAATAAATAAGGACAATAGTCTGAAGTAATAAATACGCACAGTGTCTGAACTAATAAATAGAGTCAATATTCTGAAGTAATAAATACGCACAGTGTCTGAACTAATAAGTAAGGTCAATTGTCTGAACTAATAAATACGTACCTACAATGTCTGAACTAATAAATGCGTAGAGTGTCTAAACTAATAAATACGCTCAGTGTCTGAACTAATAAGTAGGGTCAATTGTCTGAACTAATAAATGCGTACAGTGTCTGTAAGTAGGGTCAATAGTCTGAAGTAATAAATACGTACATGACTTCAAGTTCATTAGATTTTACGATTTATACATCATAAATGAAATAAATCTTAACTGAAACGCCAAAACGCTATCCCAGTGCGTAAAGAAGTTCAATGTAAACGAGGAAGTTGAACAGGATGATTTAGTGAAACGAACCGCTTTTCGGCGATGGGATCTATAAGGTTACAATCAGATCGTAATTTCGTTCAATTAAATTTAAATTAAAATTGATTAAGGGAGGAACATTAGCCATTTCAGAGTAAAATTTTTTAGGTCTCCATGAAAGGATATTAGCACCCAATTTATGAGCATTAAAAGGATGATAGTTCATAAAAACTTTCTCCTCTTGGTTGAAAATAAATATTTCTCTAGCCGCGTCGTTAACGTTGTTTGATTTTTTAATATATTTTATTTTTATAATTGACGTCTTCGTGGAACTGATGTTACAGACGTCGCCTGCCACGACGCAGCTCGGGACTGAGGGAAAAAAATAATTAATTAAATAATTATTTAAATTAAATAATAATTTAAAATGTAATTAATTTAAATTTATAAAATTATGCCAGAAACAGCGAATTAATGGATTCCAAAGAAATTAGGACAATTCACTTTTTTGTTGTCGTACCTTCGCTAAAAAATTTGTTCAATAATATAGAAAAATATTTATAATTAATAATTAAATTCTGGTTCAATGCCGATCTAACCTCAGAATAATTGCAATTCAGCTAAAATCTTTTTGCAGGCTTCACGAATCTTATTATTAAGATTCTTGATTATTATATTATTATATTAATTTATTATCACATTATTATTATTATATCATATTATTACACGAATCTTATTTCAGGCAATGTAACGTAGTATGCAGCAATGTTACTGTATCCTAAAAGCAATCTAAGTGCATTTTTTCAACAATCTAAATGAATTCCAGCAGCATTCAAACTGTAACACACCAGTAATGTAGCTGTGTCTCAATAGCAATCTAGCAGCGTCTAATTAGCAATTTAATTGTATTCCATGAGCAATCCGTCTGAATCATAATAACAATTGTAATGTATTTCATGAGTAATCTAACTGCACTCAAACAACAATCAAAATACATTCCAAATAATAGCCAAATTACATTTATTTATTTATTTATGCACTCAAACAACAATTAAAAAATGCATTCCAATAAAAGCCTAATTACATTTATTTATTTAAGCACTGAAACAACAATTAAAATGCCTTGCAATAATAGCCTATATTACATTTATTTATTTATGCCCTAAAACAGCAATTAAAGTTCATTCCAATAATAGCCTAATTACATCGTAATAACAAATTATATTTATTTAACAGGGCGCTACTGACTGCTAGAAGAGCTGCATGGCGTCGAGATCATCAGTCCTGCGGGCGCCTGCGCGTCTGCCGGCGGTGGCGTTGGTGGAGGCGCCCAAGGCGTTGGTGGAGGCGCCCAAGGCGTTGGTGGAGACGCCCAAGGCGTTGGTGGAGGCGCCCAAGGCGTTGAGACGCGCAGGCTTGCGCGAGTCTGGGCTTGTCTGCGTGTTGCCTGACGCTCCTAGGAAGACGACGTAAAGAAGAGATAGTGCAAGTATATATATTTTTTGAAGGGAAATTGATAATTTTTTATATAACTTTAGTGATATTAACGATGCATCAATTGGAGCAGAAATATTTTTTTTGTGGGGAAGTGTTTTTCATGTAACTTTAGCAGTATTCATGATGCAGTAATTCAAGATAAAGGGCATATTGCGAGGGGAAATGAGTGAAGACTGGATACTTGACTGGGTTAGTGGATATCCTTTAGAGAGGAGGAACCCTTGTTGATACCAAGGGTTCATAAACATAATATAACTTACTTGTTTATTTAAACTTGTTATACTTGTTTATGTACCTACCTAAGATAAATAAACTACCTTGTTAGGTAGTTTATTTATGTCTTATGGAGGTAGAGATTACCGAAATATAGCTCCAGTGTTTCAAATTATGTGTAATTGCAGGAAAATTAACAGCGTTTATTGTTTAACGGAAAATGCTGACAAGATGCAGTATACATTTAACGACGTCGGCAATGATGGTAGAATAAACTACTACGATCATGATTATAGTAATGAAGTCTACAGATTTTAACATATTAACCAATTTCTAAACTGAATTCCAGAATAATTTATCCATTCCGGGTTTTGAATTCTTGCCAGTGCACTCATCTTTTCACTGTCACCCAGAAGTTTCATCAACACTTGTTCAAGTTTTTAAAACCCTTCTTCTCTCCAGACGGAGTCTTGGCTATTTCTCTAACACACGCGTCTTTCAAGAATCAACGTAGCATTGGAAAACCTTCATCCAAGTTCTAGAGTGAATGGAAAAACAAGCACTTCGAAAGACCTCTCTTCTTTGGCTCACTAAATTGCAAGAATCGAATCGTTCCGGAGAAACGAAGTCTTCATTGTACAGCACGGTGCCGAAATCAACGAAACCTTGTACCAGCATAAGTTTTATGGAAGCTTTTTCGCCGGCGACGCGTGAATAAATTCTAACTTCGGAAAGAGATGGAGCCGTTCTTTTGCGAGCAGAAGTGACTTTTATGTCGTGCCTGGAAATGGCATTCTTGTAACTCATTGAATTTACGTTCTTTGGTAAGATGGTTAAATGATAGAAATACGGTTTAAATGCATGCACTATATCTTCCGTTATCCAGCACTTCTCAATCTCCTCATTATGTGCTATTTGGTTAGATAAAAGTGCAATAACAGTAAAGTGGTCATCAGGAATGCTGTTAAACAAAACACTCGTAACCTGTAAACACTAATGGGCTGAGTTATAATTTTGGAATTATTCAATAAAACATTTGAAGACGCATCATTCAAATAACCATTCAAAATATTCAAGATCATGCAGCCTAATTATTTGCAAAAATTTAGTAAGCTTTATTCAAATATAATCCAAAGATCGCGCGCCTTCTCAACCTTTTATTGCGGAGGCGGGAGTGCTGGCGTCGCGATATAGGATCATTTATACCAGAATTGTGCATATAATTCAATACTATCAAATAATTATCGCCGCACATAATGAAATAATTTTATAAGAAATTTAAGGAACTATAACAGTGAGTATAAGTCACTACCGTATTAATTAAATATCGGTGCACATCTCACCGAACCAGCCGTTGGTGGAAGCATTGTAGGAATCACCTGCTCCACCCAGGCCTCCACCCGCCATACTTTGACCCAAGTTGTTGGTGAAACTTCCACCTCCCCCATAGGATCCACCAAATCCCCCATTTGAGGAGTTGGTGGAACCCCAAGAGGAATTATAAGATCCTCCTCCGTTGATGCCTGCCCCTATGTTGTTCCCCAGGGAGTTGCTGAGACCCATAGAGTTCACCCACATACTTTGGGAAAGTGACATCCCCAAATTGTGGGAAGATGGTTTTGGTTTTGGATTCTTGCCTGGAAATGAAAAAATAATTTTAATAAATAGATGCAAATAATGTCAAGATTTTGCTCACAACAGATAGTTTAACATCAGTTAGAGAATTTCTATATAACACTGTAATATACCACAACAACATTTGGACAGTGTTTCACGGTTGTACAATCTCTCATACAATTGTGTTCAACTTCCCATTCTAAATTCTGATGACCTTGGCTGCAAATAAAAATTTATAGCAACAAACTGAAAACTCTCGCTCCTCTTTAACGGCACGAGGAAGTCTCTGTTTACACACCATAAAACTTATGCCCTTATCTCCGTCATTTTTGCGGCTTCAGTCCTAGCAGGTCACTTAGGCGCGCTTGTAACGTCCAAACAACTTCGTTGTCGACTTCGTTTTAAAATCCCAGCTTTTGGGGAAATTTTTCCGGGAGAAAAGTATAGCGAACTTTGGAGAATTTGCCAGAAAGTCAAGGCTTTCGACAAAATTTTAAAGCTCGTCTTCTCTACGAGACTCGTCGTCTTCTGAAATCCCATCTTCTTGGGACTTAACACAAAACAGAAGGCAATCCTGGCTAAGACTTTTCTACTGTGCGACTTTTGGGGCCAACCTTGCATTTGAACTAAAGTAACATCACTTCAAAAGAATGATGCCACCAACAGAACAAACCAAACATCTTTAGATAGATTTCGTGCAACTGTCGCATTAATTAAAAACAAACAATTCTATTTATCAACAAGAGAGAAGCGAGAGCCACTCAAGACCCAATCTTTACTGCAATATAGACTATATAATCCCCCAAAAAATTGTATCAAAATTGTTAGCGGCTGACCATTGCCCTCTGAAAAGCCACTGATATACCAGCTAAGATATCCGAGAGAGTCAGATTACACTCAATAAAATGAGTGAGCTATTGTCTAAATACCGACGCACTTTTTGCCCTAGTGTATGTCATCATGGCCCAGTTTAACCCTTCAAAAGTACGTATCAGTGCTACGTTCGCTCACTGCTCGTACTGTGAGTAGTGTGTCGGTATTTGGACAATGTGACCCATTTATTTCCTCTGAGTATATCGTGGCTGCCATTTCTCTATCAGGAGAAATCACCGAAGTTTCCTGTAACGGACCGACCAGACACACCGCCGCCCGGGAATGCGTCTGGGAAATGGCCCTCTACAAATTTCATTACAAGAGAATGAATTTATTGGGATGAAGAGAGGAGATTTCAGACAGGGAGATCAGATAGGATAAAGTTCTGCGCTAGAGATACTTGGACGGAACATCAACCTAGGAAATTGAGGGCTTAATTTTGCAAGAAAGTCGGTCTGCTCCTGGTCTGATCATGGTCTGCTCGTGGTCTGTCTGCTCCTGGTCTGCTCATGGTCTGCTCATGGTCTACTCATGGTCTGCTAATGGTCTGCTCATGGTCTGCTCATGGTCTGCTCATGGTCTGCTCATGGTCTGCTCATGGTCTGCTCATGGTCTGCTCATGGTCTACTCATGGTCTGCTCATGGTCTGCTCATGGTCTACTCATGGTCTGCTCATGGTCTGCTCGTGGTCTGCTCATGGTCTGCTCATGGTATGCTCATGGTCTGCTCATGGTCTGCTCATGGTCTGCTCATGGTCTGCTAAGTCGGAAAGAAAGTTTGTGTAACTGGTCGCCTGCGACCAGAGTTACATTGGGCGAAAATGAAATAATATCATAAAAAAGATTTTCACTAAAAGAATACGACGAAAATTATAACACATAAAAATGTAATAACATATAATGTCGATTGTTCCATTTCATTACGAGTATGCGTATAAAATGAAGTCGCCATGTGACAATTTCCCCTTGAGCTGACACCACAAAAAATGCCGCATATAAACGTTCCCGTTTCTAGAACCTCATGGGATATGCACCCATCATCATGCCGCTGAGAGCCTCACCAAGTTCTGCCAGGAAATATATCGTCAGCTTACATTTTCGCAGCAAACATTTCCATGAGATGCAAGCAGCCATTCATTTCGTAAAAGATTCGCGTCTGCTGGCCCAACTCCGAACAAGAAGACGAAAATTTTCTTTCACGCACGGACTGTGAAAACTTCTTGGAATCTGGACCAAGCGGCCGGCTTTTCTTGGAGGGCTAAACGCCAAACTTATCGCAAGGCTCTAGCAAAGAAAGCGTCCGCGCCTTGGTGCTACCGTAGCTTCTGCACTAACTTGGTTCGCTGCTGAATTGAGTTTGGTTGAATTGAAGAACTTTGCAGACTCACTCTAACTTGCATTAACATCTTAAAAGGTTTTCTATTGTCATTTATATGAATTAAAACTTATAGGTAAGAAGCTCATCGGTTTTCAGGATTTTGCTCACAGAGATGTTTAAAGCGTTTTCCAATAAAAACTCTTTTGGGTTCAACTAAAAAAATAATCAAATCTGAACTAAAGACAAAATAACTGAAAACGGCCATTGAATCACAAATATTTGGCGTACATATTCTTACCCACTACATCAGATGCGCCAAAGTATTTCTTTTTATTCCATTTCATATTTTCGTGAAAAACTAGAGGACGACACAAATCTAACTATAAAAATTTTGAAGATATTACACAACAAATTGAGAAAAAACTTTTTTAAGAAAAAACTTTTTTAAATTTAAAAAAAACGCAAACAAATGAATGTGTCACATTGTCCGAAGTCGCACATTTTTATCCATAGCACGAGCAGATAGCGGCAGTATCCCTGCTACGCCCATTCGCCGGACGACAAGGCAATAAGTGCATCGTTATTTGGACAAAATCACGCTTATTTCTCTCAGTGTAAGAGGTTGTTCCAGACCTGGATCCTCCTGGGCATCGCTATTTGTACAAAGTCACACTAATTTCTCTCCGTGCAAGAGTTTTTTCCAGACCTGGATCCTCCTGGAATCTGACGAGCAGCTCGGTGGCTCGCTTTGGTTTGAAGTAATTTCCAGCGATGTCCTCCTGCTCGCCCTTCACCAGCTTCTGCTGGAACAAAACATTCCCAAATTACAATAGGAATATTGATTTATTCATTTAATGTCGTTCTATTTCAACTTTCATGGAGCAGTTTCCCAAATTACAATGGAAATATTGATTTATTTGCTGTATGTCGTTGTATTTATAACTTTCATGGAGTAGTTTATAGAATCTTATTTTAATTTGAATTAAAATTCGCATAACTGGAACAAAACATTTCGAAATTACAATAGAAATATTGATTTATTCGATCTATGTCGTTCTATTTCAACTTTCATGGAGCAGTTTAGAGACTCTTTTTTTACCTGGATTAAAATTCGCATAATATAACTTTGTGAACTACCGAACTAAGATAGTAAGGCGGAAAATCTCATAACAGGGAGTGTCAAAATATCACGATTAGGAGAGTTAAATATATAATGATAAATATTTAGCGGAGTATGAGTAAATTTGTGCTTAAATTTTATGTATAGCTTATCCACAACTATGTTCCCAAGTTTCGATCGCTAACCTTATAATAAAAGTTATAATGATCAGGTTCATTCGGAAATTGCTTTTGAAATTAGAATATTGAAATTTTAAGTAATAAACCTCGTATATATTGAAATTATTCAAAATGCCACTCTGAAAATTTTCACATATTTTTTTATTTAAATACTTATATTATCAGTCTGCTTATATCGCAAGTTCACAAGGAATTTAAAAGCAAAGAAAACACCAAGCAAATTCACCATATCGATATTGAATTCACCATATCAATAACGATATGGTGAATTTGCTTGGTGTTTTCTTGGTTTTTATTTAAATCAATAACTCCGTCAGTGTTTATGATTTCCTCCATTTCTAAGCCTATTTTTTTAGAGCCGACAGCATCTTATATATATTTATATATACCCGTATATTTCTTTAAGTAATCTTTTCATGCTGTTAGCGTATAAAATTCGCACAGATTTTCTGAGGCTATTTTCTTAACGGCGTGAGAGTCTACTCATGGCCGCTTATGTCGTCCATTTAAGTTCTCATTAGCAATGAACGAGCTCACCTCATTAGAGGAATAATAATCAATTAGCTAGGCGAATAATGAGCGCGCTATAGAGCCGTGTAATCCGATTAGCATAATCAGACTTCATCAGTCCACAATAGAGCAAAAAAATAGCATAGAGCTTGACTAAACACCGGCAAACATCTAGGATGGTATTTAGGGTGCATGACTGTAAAGATATAACACAGTGACAGTATATAATAACAAAATTAAGTGTTAGTAATATATAGTAAAAAATTTTCAAATTAGTATTTGAAAACGTGAACGAAATTTCAATTTACGTTTCGTAAACTTTATTGAAAGCGAAATTTAAATTTGCATCTAAAAAGGTTACAAATATACATAAAAATGGTAAACGCAAACTCGGAAATACAGATGAATCAACTTACCCTTTAAAAATGTCTGCAAAAATTGTTGATTGTTAATTCATGCAATGGAATTAATTTTTCATGTAACTTACGGTGCATTTTTTTATTCTAACATGCATACAATGTGACAGGTGAATTATCAATAACTTCAATGAAAACGTTTCAGAGAACAGCTTCATCCCCAGTTCAAACAAAATTAGGAAATGCAAGTAAAATCAGTATTAAAACCCAATCAATTTTGGTTGTTCATGAATTATATGAACAATCAATTTTTATTGTTCTTGAATTATTTAAAATTATCGAATTGATGATGGTGCTGGTCTCCGAATACTTTTCATTGAAGATATCGTGAATTTATTTGGCATTTTAATTGTTTTTAAATTCTTGATTAATTTGCGCTTTAAGCAAATTAGCGTCACAAGTAAGCATATAATGTGCTTCTATAGCAATTACATTGATAAAATTATTTTCAATGACCATACACAGATAAACTATTGGCTACGATAGCAAGTGCGAAAATGTACAATAAGAAAATTTAATGCTTGAATAAACCGTCATATAAAGAAAGAAAATACGTAGAGTTCAAAGTAAAGGGTTGAAAAAACCTGATTCATGAATAAGCGATAACTATAGAAAATTAAAAAAATATATATGAAGCAAAATATTCCCCAGAACGGGCCTGAGAAAGGAAGTTAATGCGCACACACCAGACGATGTACGCGTATATTATTTACACTGTTAGAAAAAACGGTGAAAAAGCGGTCCCACTGGCGTTCTAGTGGCCGGTCGACACGTGAAAATAAACTGTTTCGCCGTTTTTATCAAATGTTTTACGGATTTTTAGTGTTAAATTAAAATAAAAACGGCAACTCGGTGCTTCTTTTCACGTGCCGACCGGCCACTGAAACGCCGGTAATACCGTTAACGGTAATTTTTCTAACAGTGTATTCTTTGCACGTATTGCGAATACATATGCAGTGCTGGACCTTCACGTTGAAAAAGCATTGGGTCAGCACTCAAAAATTTTGAACTACCTATGAGCTGCAATTGCCGCATTGCCAAAAAGTTACGCAAGCTATAAGGTGAAAATTACCTTTGGAAATTTTTCATAGACTGAAAATGAACGTGGTACGCTTGAGACGACTTTTCATGTGCCAATATATACTTGAAATGCCGCACGCAGCATACAAAAGTGGTACCTACGCATGAAAAGACTTGCAGTTGGGCGTAATAGCGTAATAGATACGTAATAAGCTTGACGCTTCTTGCAGTAGGTCAAATATTTCATCATACGCTTGCAACGACTTTAAGCAGGCTGAAAATACATGTTATTTGCTTAAATGATCAATCGGGCAGCTATAATTGATCGTCGATCGGTAGACGCGTGTCTGCTGCTGCTCAGTAGACGTGTCTACGAGGCTTTCGAGTTCCGTTACCATCGGTGTCAAGCTAACCGATTATCTTCGAAGCCGAACATTAGTTTCTAATCTTGATTGTTCAAATCTTCCACAAATTTCGAAATGAATGTTAAGAACTTTGACAAGAATTTAATTTTAATGGAAAATTACCAAACTCATGGGGCTCTTCTAGCTTGCGTTAAAACTTGCACGATGTGCTCAAAACCTAGGCTGGTCCATGTTAAAGTTTTTACTGCTAGACACACAAATAATTTTTCTGCCAGTTTTCAACTATCTCGTTGCTAATTTTCAGTTTGCCTGAAATGAATCGACAAGGCGCATATACGCAAAAGTAGGCTTTTGAAATAACGAAATTTACCGTCACTTCTGTCGATTGAGGCTTAAATACAAAGGTTAAACGCGCACTTGCATGAATTAGCCTCCCATTTATTTTTTTAATTCACCGTCGCATATTCAGAATGATTTTGAAATACATCGGTAAACGCGTGGTCAGCGTAGAGCACCTGGAGGTATCCATCACACTTGTCCTCCATGCAGTCTTCGGAGGAGTCGTCCGGACTCCCCGTGATGAAGGGGTTCATGGAGCTCCCCCCATGGAGGGGTTCTTCGTCCCCCGTCCACGCGTCGCTTAAGGAAAGCCCCAACGTCCCCCTGGGACTTGAGCCCAACGCGGGCTTGATGGGGACTCGCGCTCCTGGTTGAACCCCTGCCAGCCGTGCGGTTGAGCAAGCGGTTCAGCGGTTGATTAGTGGGGGATGAAAATTGGGCGAAGGATGGAAATGGTGAAGTTCAATGGACGACTAAAATAATTTATGGTGAGTTTGGTGAGTGTGAATTGTCTGAGGCGAAGTGTTTGTATGTCGATAGGAGAATATGCAAAGGAGGATGGAAATGGCGGAGTTCAATGGATGACTAAATTAATTGATGGTGAGTTTGATGAGTGTGATTGTCTGCGTGTTAATGAGGCGACTTGTTTGTATGTCGAGGGGAGAATATGCCAAGAAGGATGGAAATGGTGAATTTCAATGGACGAATAAAATAATTGATGGTGAGTTTGGTGAGTGTGATTGTCTGCGTGTTAATGAGGAGACTTTTTTGTATGTCGAGGGGATAATACGCCAAGCTTGATGATGTGAGAAACTGGTATTAAACGAATCAAGGAGATGAACTCTAAAACGGAGATATGTGAACGCACATGGAACTATGATAGATTACGATGAGACT